TTTTTCGTGTCTCTTGAGAAAAGATGTTACGGTGTTTTTGTTAGTTGGCAGAGCCCTAATTGTACTTAAGCCGAAGGTTACTCCGGGACATATCGGTAGATTTATGCAAGACACCATTTTTTGTTTCTTACCAATTTTTCGTGTAATTTTATTTTCAAGGAACGGGCGAAGCGAATAGTTCAATGTTGAACAAGGGCCATGACACTAACGAAGACTTTCATAGCCATAGTAACGGTAGGAGCAATAAAGTTTACATTTTTAATTTGATGATGATTTTAGATTACGTTCTTCACTCAGTTGCTAGCCGCTAGATGTCTACTAAAAGTATTCAGTTTTCTCGGCGTAAGAAACCACTTCAACACCGACTGTGCCAAAGTCGATTTTATGTTAACGTCAGGTGTCTGTGGTAAACATAAATTCACCAGTCCCGTTCATAGGTAAATTTGGGCAAATTTACTTCATGTTTATTGATGCTATTTGGTCTTGTAACTACTCTGTTTACGTTGGAAACTGAGGAATGTAAAGATGTATTTTAATTTAAGAAAGCATACAAATACAATATGATTAGGGCTTAGCTTTTGGCATTATTTGAATTGTTTGAATTTTTTTCAATTTCCAGCTTTGGATTCTGATAACGTGGTGATTTTGTATGGTGTAGATCACATCTTAATTTTTCAGTAAATACACTTTTTTCATGTATTATGGAATTTTGCGATCATTGCTGGTATGAATTGAAATACCTTGAGCCCAATTCATTGATTTTAATTCTCTGATGTTGAGTTATAAAATTCAGTGTTGAAATTCTTCTGTCAATCAACCAAGTTATAAATGAGGAATATGGCAATGATATAAAGTGAAAATTTGTTTTTCAAAACTGCTTTATTGGTATATGGTATATCTCTCTACATGTGTCAGGGCTCTCTATCAGGCAATCACAATTTTATTAAGATAACAAATTTTTATAAATTCTCATCAATAAAGGAGAAAATTCTTCATTAAAAAAGTTGAAACATTAAATTTGTAACTAGATAGTTGCAACACATAGGTAAATTTGCACTGCTAAAGTCTTGAAGTTATTTTTGATAGTTGTAGAAATTACAGCATATTTACTTGTGGTTTGTCATTCACCCAAAATTACATGTTACTGTGTGGAATTTGGTAATTTTGTACCCAAACACCAGTATTATCAAAGGTAAATAAATTGTGAACATAAACCTTTGACAAATAGAAGCTTTTACAAGTAACTGTCATTTTACTGGAAGATTTAAAATGAAAGGGTTAAAGTGACAGATACATACAAGTGTGAGCATTCAACTATAAATTATGGTACCCTCAAATTTTGTAAAATTTTGAATTTGTTCCAATATCAGAGAATCAAACAAGGAAACATGTCCACAGACCACAGATTGTCAAATTAGACTTTTGTAAACCAAATGTTGCTTCAGAGTAACAAGAAGATTGTAATCAAGGCAGCTGTATCTGTATCTGAAAAGTTATAAGAATTTTCCAAGCTCCTGTTACGAAGGATATCTACATGTTGTGTTATACTCTACATGTGGTGACCTGATTACCTCTTCTACTTATTCAGATCATAAATCATGGAGTATTGCGAGTCGAGGAATCTTCTCATACTCAGATCACCCCAAGGTCATTCAAGGTAATCATGGCACCTCGACCGTTGACCAACCTGATGACATCCTAGACACAAGACACACTCCTAAACTGGATGAATTTGATATGGTACAGAAGAAAAATCTCTTGAACAGCAAACTGCGGATGGCTGGAGGTATGCTATAATTAATGACTTGTAACAAATCATGTGTATGTACTGGTTTGTGAACTGTCATCTTTTTCTTCTGGAAAAATTGGTCATATGAAGTTCAAACCCAGGTGTTATGTCTCGTAGGAGGGTAGAAATCCATTCACAATTTTGGGCATAGCTGCCAGGCCTTTGAACAGGAGTGAGATCAAGCTTGATCTTGTGATCATAAAAAAAAAAAGAAAGAAAAGTTTACATGATAACAACAGTGATTTACAAGTGTAAAGCAGTTAACTTTGAAGTTGCATGGCAAAGTGAACCTCTGTCTTACTCTTGTTCAAAGGCTTGGCAAGTGTATGAATACACAACTGAAAAATTCACCTTTTGTAGGACTTATCAGTTACTCAATTAATACAGAAGTGTTCCTTTAATTGCAGCGCCTCAAATCGCAAACAGGGAAATGTCTGCAAGGACACGGCGTGCAAAGAAAATGCGTGATGCCCATCTCAGGTCAATGGGGCTTGGTCCGTTTACCCCAAGTAATGGATCACATGTCAACACAGACAATAAAAGGGACAGTGTCAACTGGAAACAGGACGTTGATGATGACTTTTAGCCATTTGTCTTCACTATGCATACAACAACAAAAAAAAACTATTTAATATGAAGATGTGAAATAACTTGCAAAGTAACTTTAATTGTTTATATTGCAATGACAACAATGAAGATGATTCAATGTGAGGACATGTTAGAGGTCAAAAAATGCATGCTTTATTTTTTACTTAATAATGGTGGTTATGGTATGAGACTCTGTATAGTTGTATGGATCTTGAAAAAGATCTTGTTCCTTCATCTGCAACAAGGATATTTTTTGTGATACAAGCAAATATCTCTCTTCATGTACTGACCATACCACGAGTAATAATCGTGGCCTGGGAAAGTTTGTTAGAAATTCCAGAAACTGCAGTTGGAAAGTCACTCTCTAGCTCGGTACAATTTTCTTAAACTACTATGGGGTCCGAGGTTGTTGAAGATCTATCCCCCACAAAAGAAATATTCTAAATTTCATACTTCTGACAGTTTTTTGAGTAAGTGCCTTCCATTGTAATATAGTTTCATTACCCCCCCCACTAATATACTGATTTAAAATTGGTGAACATCACCAAATCTGCTTCCTGTCACTGCCACAAGTAATGGAATTGTTTTGCCAAACTGAGAAAACTGCAATTATCTTGAGTTTGGAAGAGAAAACAAATCTAGACTAAGCAGCTTTGGTTTGGCAAGTTGGGTCATGATTTTTTTGGTTTGTTCATATGTTCTGATCATATTTTTTTATTGGTCCTCTACAGTAAACAAAGTATTTGAGGTATTCAGGGTATTGTTGAGATATACATGTAATTTATAAGACAATGCGAAAATTTACATATTGTATAATCAGAAAGGCTCGTTTTGTTGTGTTAAATATTTGTACATAGTATTTGATCCACACTTTAATTTTTTTAGTGTAATGTCATTTTGTCTTCAAATAAATTTCTTGCATGAAAAGGTGTGTAGCCCAAACAATAAATTCAATACCAGGAGCCAAGTTTCCTTACTTTTCATTTGAAATTTCTACAGGATCTTATAAAAGGATTCCAAGTATTGACTGTTTTTCTCCAGCTGTTTGGACGAGTGTTTGACCCTGCAATCTGACTTCACTATCCATGGTGATCATATTGAGCTATGAGCAATAAACGTTCTCAAGCTGAAATTTTATTAATTTTTAAAATTTTTTATGGGGGGGGGTACAAACTTAAGGCTTAAAAGAACATTCAAAAAGGATTTAGAGCAAAGGCTTTGGGAGTGAAAAAAAAAAGAACTTTGATAACTGAAACTCCCTGTGCAGGTCTTTAAATACTGATGGGCTTGTTGCAAACAAGGCGTGCGCCAGCGCAGCTCCATATTTAAGAAAAGATGATAGTCCGTGAAGCTGAAAAAAAATTGGACAACACCATGAGATTACGTTCCAGTTTGTGTGTAAATGTTAGGCGCCTGTTATGAGTTTACATCATGATAAATGATTTAAAAAAATGGACCATAACGCCATGTGATTATGTCTCAGGTCGTGTGTAAATGTTACGCGACTGTTATGAATTTACATCCTGCAGTAAGCATGATAAATGTCTTTGCCCTTTGGAAAGAAAGCAGTAACTATTCGCACCCGCTTCAACTATGGGCGGCCGTCACCGTCACGCCATATTCAACGGCCTTTTTACTCTACTCCTCTTTCTGTCGTGGAGAGGTTAGACCGTACAGTATCATTTCTAACGTCACTTGTAATGATCCTCTTTTTTTGTAGCTCATAATACCGAGAAGTCACTTTATTCATTGTGTCAAGAGAGAATAAAATCAAGGGACTAAACCCTCTCAAATCGGCCTTAATCCCGGGGTAAAAAAGGGTTATTTTAAGGCCACCCTCTCTTCGACGATCTTCAAAGGATCTAGAGACAACCAATCTTATGTGTCGATCAATTTGAAGCTTCAACATCCTCCAACCTGGAGCATTTAAACTTCTGATGATTGGTACGTCAAAATTTCCGTCCCCTGGATTTCATGGTCATTTTTTGGTAAAAGGCATTACCAGCGACCATTTCTACTTCTTGATCGTCAATTTATTTGTCTCGTCAAGCTTCAAATCTTAGACCTTGTTGGTCTTTTCTTCTGAGCCATCCGCTCGCGAAAGTGAACTCTCATATGAAAAGATAAAACAAGAGCGTATTCCGATGGAAAGACTTGACACTTCCGATCCAAATTCCCGACCACACCTAGGTAAGGTTCAAATTACTCACCCCCCAGAGCACGGACGACAATCAAATGCCCTTAGAGAGATGTTGAAGCTTCGAATTGATCGGTGCATTACTTCAGTTGTCCAGCTGACAACTATTGCAGCACCTAGTCATTCTCCATTAAAAACTCCGAGTAACTCTGCCGGTACGTGAACATTTTCTAGCTGGAAACCATATCCCTCGAGTTTAAAAGCCCTAAAAAATAACTTACTCTGATAAAACAGCTTTGGAATATCTTTTATTTGATTGTATTCATTCTTCAAGTTCGATCTTTTCTTACTGAGATAATTTTTACGACGGCCCAATCTTTTAATTTAATATGTTTCTATTTTGTTGACAGCGCAGCAGTTGAACGACATTCCTCATCCATTTCCATCCCATCGCGTGGTACATGCGTCCTTTGTGCCTCGGCCCGGGTAAACTGACCGTAAACGACTAGAGGAAGGGTTTATAATCGAAGGGCACGTCATTTTACACAAATTTACTTTTCAAAGATATTATTACATATTCTCTTCGGTAATCATTTATCTTTTAGCTTTCTGAACTAAGAATATAGGATTTTCATAATTTAAGTATAAAAAGATATTTTAAAAAATTAAAAATTCTACCTAATATCTACAATAACTTATCAAAGCATTCATGAATGTACAAAAAAAAGCACGAGATAATAGAAAGGCACCAAACCAAGTTTTGCCGGTTGATCGAAATAGTTTTCATACGAAAAAAGCACTCCTGTAGAGCTAATTGATAATTAGACCCAGTAGGTCATTATTTTATAAGACAGCTTTTCGTTTGGAGCTATTAATCACAACGC